AGTAATTAATTTTTATTCAGGTTTTAAATGGCAATCAACATAACTCTATAACATTTGATGAAATAGAACAAAATACTATTAACAAAAAAATTAGCAATACCTGAAATGGAAAGGCACCTGCCAGTAGAGTAAGGGTACTAGAATGTATGGATGACCTGGAAGTCTCTGCCTTTGTTTTGCCTTTGCTTGTCTAATTCATTAATCTATTTATAGTAATGCTTTACCTTATAAAGGATATTAGACTATGTAAACATAAAGAGCTTACTGCTAGTGAATGGCCTTTTCAATGAAATTTTAAATTGAATAGTTCCTGCCTGTATTTCCTAAAATCCTACAGTATGAGAACAAATAGGTGTTGAAACTGAAAATGACTTATCTATGAAGTTGAGCCCCTTGCTGTTATTTGATTTGAAAATCAATCTTAAGAAAGTAGGCAGTTTCACAGTATGGCTATAATGAATAGAGCACTCTTGCTTTCAGAACGGAGACAAGATTAAATAGCAATGCCGGTGAAAATCTCAGGGGTAGACTATTCAGTCAGTCTTGAAAACCTGTACCCTGTTTCACTGATGTGAATCAATCTATTCCTTGTGATAGAATTTCTACCCAATAAACTGTCTCAATTTGGAATTAATTTGAAGAGCTCAAGAGTTCTGGCTTAAAATTGCTCCTGTGTAGCAGTACCTAATTCACTATTTCTCACTAAAGTATTTTTGAAAAGTGACAAAACCTTACAACAACAGAGAAGTATAGAACTGAAGTCCTCCTTTGGCAAGAATCTGGAAAAAATGCTCACTATGTTTAGGTGCGATAGAACGTTCTCTCCACATAGGTGCAATCCACCTAAAATTAGGTTAGAATACACTATCGTGCTTTTCTTACCATCTTTTCTGATGAATCCCAGAGCAAGATTTAGACTGGTTAGAAAATTAGGCATCTATCCTTTATGGGTTAGTCTCTGCTTTTGGCAGCACTGTGATATTTTCCTCCACTCCATGTTAATACATGTCCTTCCACATCCATGTAGACACTGCAGTGCCTGGAAATAACCAAGCAGGAAGTTGGTGGGGGTTGGTGAGACTGGGTTGCATCTAGACAGATGTGTTAGCCAGAAGCATTCTCTGCAGAGATGGAGACAGGAGCATCCCGGACTAGCTGCTCTCTGGGGCCAGAGTTCATCCGCGTGTGCTTGTCTGCACTGGTGGTCAGCAGCATCTCATTCCATCACAACAGATCCTAGATCCTAGAGTTTAACTTCCAGCTTTAGATATCAGCCTGCCATCCACCCACTGACCTAATGAGAGGAGTCAGCCAGGAAAGTAGTGTACAGTGAGGGAAGCCAGTGGTGCTGCACACATCCTGTTTTTCTGCAGAATTCTTCCTGTGGTTTCCCAGAACATAAATAATAATAACAAATGAATGGTATACCTATGGATTTATACCACAGTTCTCTTTCTGAGAACTCAAGGGAAGAAAGCATTCTAAAAATTTATTTAGTTTTTTAAGAGATCCAATATAGTTAATAGATGCAATTATAAGAAAATAAGGATTTTTCCCTTCCTGCCCCATTTTTTTCCTTCCTTCCTTTTTAGATATTGTTTTGTTTTGTTTTGTTTTGCAGGCAGAGTTAGACAGTGAGAGAAAGAGAGAGAGAAAGGTCTTCCTTCCGTTGGTTCACCCCACAAATGGCCACCGTGGCCACGCTGCACCAATCTGAAGCCAGGAGCCAGGTGCTTCCTCCTGGTTTCCCATGTGGGTGCAAGGCCCAAGCACTTGGACCATCCTCCACTGCACTTCCAGGCCACAGCAGAGCGCTGGACTGGAAGAAGAGCAACTGGGACTAATACCCAGCGCCCCAACCAGGACTAGAACCCAGGCTGCCGGCACCGCAGGCATAGGATTAGCCTAGTGAACCGCGGCGCCCCTTTTTAGTTTTTAGATAACATTTTAAATTTTTATTACAGTGAAGGGCTTAATTCTCCACCAAATAAAAAGTTCTTTGGGTAAAAGCAAAAAGATCCTAGTTTAGCAGGAGTATAGGCAAGGACTATAAATAATAGTCAAATGAAAAGATGACAATTTCACTCATATATGATAGATTTTAAAGTATTCCCAAACTATTAAAACTTAGTAGTATACTGTTCCTAACCACTGGTTTGAGAAAGGTATATTTGCAGTAATACTGATATGCACAGGCATTTCTTTTTTGGTTTGTGTTTTATTTTTAATCTTAGCTCCCACTTTTAACAGAGAACAAGTGGTATTTGTCTGTGTCCAGTTTAGTTCACTCAACATTATGTCCTCCAGTTGCATCCATTTTGCTGCAAATGGTAGAATTTCATTACCTTTATAGCTGAATAATATTCCATTGTGTATTAAACCACATTTTTCTTTATCCATTCATCTGATGATGGATACCTTTTTTTTATTGCCTCTTGGCTGTTGTGAACAGTGCTGCTATAAACATGGTGGTGCAGGGATCTCTTTGATACATTGTGTTCATGTCTTTTGGGTATATACCCAGTAGCGGGATTGCTGGGTCATATGCAAGTCTATATCGAGTTTTTTAAGAAATCCCCATGCTGTTTTCAAGGTGCCAGCAGAATCAGGGTCTGATGGATGCCTGTTTCCTGGTTTACTTGTGGTTCCTTCTCCCTGTGTCCTCATGTGGTAGAAGGAGCAAGGGAGGGATCTCTTGCCAGCCTCCTTTACATGGGCACTAACCCTTTCAAAGGCTCCCACTTCCACTATATCACCTTGAGGAGAGAAGAAGTTCAGCTTGGGACACAAATATTCAGACCAGAACAATAAGGAAAACAAGAAGTTTGGAAAATTAGGTTCATTCGCTATAGATTGCATGGAGATAGATGATAAAAGCAGGCCAGGAAGCCTTGGTAGAGTCTAGGTCAGGATTAAAACTGCTAGAAAGGAGATGGAAGAGGTAAGGAATAATAACGATTGAAAATGCAATGGCGTAAAGCTGTTCTTGAGACAATACAGAGAAGTAAGGTAGCGAATGGTCTGTTCAGTGTGTGCAAGACTCATTTGTGTAGCTCTCCCAGAAGGTAGGAGAGAAAGAGTTAGGGTAATGATGGACTGGATGAAGGGTACCCTCGGAGAAGACAGAGAGAGCTTAAACACTGTAAGTGTTCCTTAGAAGAAAGAACTAGAAGAGGAGAAATTACCAAAACCATAGAAGAAAAATTCCCTAAGCCAAAAAAAGCCTGACTATGCATATCAAAATGACTTTCCATGTTCCATTCAACGTTGAGAGAAAGCGGCCATAACTAGATAATCTGGGCAACAGTTTATAACGAAGTCTTGCAGCTCCAGAATCTCAGCTGAAACAGGACTTCCCTCTCTCCTGTGTCTGCAGATGTCCTAGTTCCAGTCTTGGTCCTTGGCTGTACCTGTACCACTGCTTGGCTCAGAGATCACCAAGACCACAGAAAAGAGCCCAGGCCACTGCTGAGTTCATCCTTCGGCTTTAGGATTCTAACACGACAGCCACAGCCACTGTTGTGTTACTACCAGACATTGGTAAGCCTTTTGCCGAAGGCTTACCAATAACGGAATAGTATTCAAGCTTAGAAAGTCAAGGATCCATTGGTTTTCAGAGCCTAAAAACCAGTCCCAAACCAAATATCAAGGAATTTCTTTTTTTTTTTCCCCAAAAGATTTATTTATTTATTTGAAAGGCAGAGTTAGAAAGGCAGGGAAAGAGAGGAAAGTATTCTATCTGCTGGTTCATCCCCCAAATGGCTACAATGGCTGGAGCTGGCCCGATCCGAAGTCAGGAGCCAAGAGCTTCTTCCAGGTCTCCTACATGGGTGCAGGGGCCCAAGGACTTGGGCCATCTTCCACTACCTTCCCAGGCACATTAGAAGGGAGCTGGATCAGAAGTGGGGCAGCCAGGATTCGAACCAGTGCCCATATGTAATACCAGCACTGCAGGTGGTGACTTTAACTGCTACGCTACACCACCGATCCATCAAGGGGCTTCTTACAGGATCCCTTTCCTCCTTAGCTCATACCTGACTCCTGGTGTCAAGCCTGGCTTTCCTTCTATGACTTGGTTTCCTTGGAGACCAAAGGCCATTTTAAAGGCCCCAGGTTAAGAAAGTTTCTTCTGGCCGGTGCCGCAGCTCACTAGGCTAATCCTCCACCTGTGGTGCGGCACCCCTGGTTCTAGTCCCGGTCGGGGCGCCGGTCTGTCCCGGTTGCTCCTCTTCCAGTCCAGCTCTCTGCTGTGGCCCAGGAGTGCAGTGGAGGATGGCCCAAGTGCTTGGGCCCAGCACCCGCATGGGAGACCAGGAGGAAGCACCTGGCTCCTGGCTTCGGCTTGGCACAGAGCCGGCCATGGAGGCCATTTGGGGGCTGAACCAATGGAAGGAAGACCTTTCTCTCTTTCTCTCTCACTAACTCTGTCCAAAAAAAAAAAAAAAAAGAAAAAAGAAACTATACACATCCAGCTAGTAGATTTACTTTTTTTTTTTTTTTTTTTTTTTACAAAGTTAAATGACCCATCTCTACCTAGATTTCTTTAAATACTGAATTCCAGAATGGAGTAAGAGACACATAGTTGATCTGAGAGAATATTTAGCTTCTTATCTGTTTTATATATATTTCCCCAAACTGTCATTTTGTTATTTTTACCACAAAAATGCAAAATATGCATTGGGAAAATTCAAAGGGAAGAGCATCTGCAAGGTACAAAACGCAATTGAACCCGTGCTTCCCAGCTAACGTCCTGTAACTCCCCATGGAAATGGAGGGCACTGCGTATACTCTTTTATAAAATGTTGGCTCCTGCTAAAGATTAGATCACATTGAAATGAGAAACTTCAAGTGCCCAATAAATAAAGCTAATGGCTAAAATATTGTTACTTAACTTTTGAAAACCTGGGGACCATTAAAAGGGGATGTCACACTTGTGTTCCATGTTTCTCCCCTCTCAACTTAGCACCGTCACTTAAAGTCATGTCTTGGTTTGTTCCAAGGTCGAGCAATATCATAATGTCATATTTCATGGCCCTGAAGGAAGCTTGCAAGACTTCATAGCACATCAGCTTGCACTCTGCATGAAGGTATTGTTTATACACCCTCTCCTTTTTTTTTTTTTTTAATTGTGAAGCATGTACAACCAGTCACTCTTGTTTTCTTTTCCTAGCACAGACAAATGGCTGCAGGGTTTTCCTGTGAAATAGTAAGAGCTGAAGTGGATGCAGGTTTCTCCAAGGAGCAGCTATTAGACCTGTTCATCAGTAGTGGTAAGAGCATTTCTGGGAATTGGGTTGTGGTAACTAAAAGGCATGCTCTTCACGGATGTCACTAAAAGAAGGTAAACTTCGTTGCTTGGGGACACATGGAGGTTGGCTTTTCAATTACTCAATAGTTGCAGGATGAAAATTGGGAACCCAAGTGAACACTTGCAAAATGTTTTCTTGTATATAACATTGAGTTTGTTAAGAACCTTGGATTTTCTCCTTTTCATCTTTGGTATTAATCATTCATTGCCATGAGAACCGGCACAACTGGCACCAGTGGTGTACCAACGAGGAGGTGGTGGGAGCAGTCCACCCTAGTGGGATTGAGTGCCACAGCTTTGATGCTGTTTAGAATTGCTGGTGTATGGTAATACTAAAAAATGGATAAACTTTTAGTAAATTTTTAAAGGATTTCTTTCTAATTTTAGATGTGCTTACTTATTTGATAGGCAGAACTTCTCTCTCACACACACATGCACACCACATAGGTCCACATTTTCTGGCTCACTCCCTAATGGGCTGCTACAGAGCGATGCCAGTAGCCAAGAACTCCATCCAGGTCTCTCACATGGGTGCAGGGGCCCAAGCATTTGGACCACCTTCTGCTGCTTTCCCAGGCACATCAGCAGGGAGCTGGATTGGAAATGGAGCAACCAGGACTCAAAATGGTGCTCCGATATGGGACGCTGGTGTCATGAGTGGTGACTTAACCCACTACACCATAATTCCAGGCCCTGTAGTAAATTTTTTTCCTTCATAAGTTCTCTACAACCAGCCCCTCGTTTCTGCATCTGGGGTAGAATTTCCCCCATTTCTCCTGGGAATGCCATTGACCAGTTTCCAAAGTACATTACTTGTACTGATCAATTCATTTGGTCTCCACAACAGCCTGTGCCTGAGAGACCATGATTTCCATTTCAACAGTGGAGAAATAGGCACAGGAAGGTACAGTAACTTGCCAACCCTCTCTTGTGGCAGACTCAGGATTCGCCATGGGTATTAACATAATGCTAGTCATGAGTTTCCTATTTCAGGCTCCAGAGCCTTATACCCAAGCTTCACAGAAACAGCATCACAGGCCGGCGCCGCGGCTCACTAGGCTAATCCTCCGCCTTGCGGCGCCGGCACACCGGGTTCTAGTCCTGGTCGGGGCACCGGATTCTGTCCCGATTGCCCCTCTTCCAGGCCAGCTCTCTGCTGTGGCCAGGGAGTGCAGTGGAAGATGGCCCAAGTGCTTGGGCCCTGCACCCCATGGGAGACCAGGAGAAGCACCTGGCTCCTGCCATCAGATCAGTGTGGTGCACCGGCCGCGGCGGCCATTGGAGGGTGAACCAATGGCAAAGGAAGACCTTTGTCTCTCTCACTGTCCACTCTGCCTGTCAAAAAACAAAAACAAACAAAAAAACCCAGCATCACACAGCAGAGCTCTACAGTACCAGCCGTGACACTGAAACAGACTAGATTTTAGCCTCCAGGGAATCAAAGCCACAGAGACTTTGGGGAGGGCTGAAGGAGGCAGCCACCAATCGTAGAAGCGTGAGTTTAGACATAGAATCAGAATCACTCTTAGAGGGAAGGGCACTTCCCATCCTTGGAACCATGGTGAGGGAAGATACCCTGTGGCTGAGACTTAGGAACATTCAAATTACCTGCAGTTTCTTAATCAAGAAATGAGAGGTGGGGCTTTGGCCCAGCAGTTAAGATGCCTGTTAATGTGCCCGTCTCCCTTATCAGCGTACCTGGGTTCAACACCCTCTTTCAGCTTCCTGATGTGGATCCTGGGAAGCAACAGTGATGGCTCGAATCAGTGGGTTGCTGCCACTTATGTGGGAGACTAGATGGAGTTCCCAACTCCCAGCTTCAGCCTGGCCCAGCTTCAGCCATTGTAGGCATCTGGAGAGTTAATAAGGCTATGGGAGCTTCCTCTGTCTCTATGCCTCTCAAATAATTTTTAAAGATTTATTTATTTGAAAGTCAGAGTTACAGAGAGATTGTCCATCCACTGGTTCACTCCTCAGGTGGCTGCAACAGTGCTGGGCCAGACCAAAGCCAGGAGCTTCACTTGGGTCTCCCACATGGATGGCAGGGGCCCAAACACTTGGGCTGTCTTCTGCTACTTTTCTCAGGACTTTAGCAGGGAACTGGATCAAAAATCCAGTTTTTTTATCTAAGCATCTTGGATATGAACTGGTGCTCACATGGGATGTCAGTATCACAGGAGGCAGCTTTAGTCACCACACCACAGCTTTTTTTTTTCCTATCACAGCTATTGCCAATTGCAGCTAACATTGACTAAGCACTTTCTCTGGTGGGCCCTATTCTAAACACTACACTTATTAACCCACAACCCACGGACACAGGTACAGTCACCATCCATGACTTGCAAACATGAAAACCCTTGACACAGGTTCATACCTTGCCATGGATCCCACAGCAAAAGCACAGAGGGAGACTCAAATGCAAGCTGTCTAGCTCTCCTCCAGCCACTGCTCCTTAATAGTCTACTCTGTGCAAGATGTCTGTTTTTCTCCGTTAGTTATTTAACAGTCCCTCATTTTTTCGAGTTTGTCTTGTTTCATGTCAAGTAAGAAGCTAAAATAGTTTTTCTCATCCTATCAGGGTAGATGGCAACTGTGGATTGAATTCTGCTCTAAGTTGAGAGAGCTAAGAAAATTGGCAATGGATTAGGTCATGAGGGATGCGAAGGTGACCAACTCAGCACTTTAGAATCCACAGTGACAGGGCAGGCATCATGACACAGCAAGTTAAGCCAATGCCTAGGGTGCCTGCATCCCAAATCAAAGTGCTAAGTTCAAATCCTGGCTACTCTGCACTTTCAATTTGGCTTACTGCTAATGTGCTTGGGAAGCAGCAGATGATGGCCAAGTACTTTAGTTCCTACCACCAATTTGGGAGACCCAGATGGGAGTTCTTGGCTCCTGAACCAGGGGTTGGAAGATATGTGTATGAGTGTGTCCTTGTCACTCTGCCTTCCAAATAAATAAATCATAAATAAATAAGAATAATAAAGAAGATGCTATAGTAAGCATCTTCTTAAAAAGAGCTCCTCTTCCCAACTTCTTGATTTGGAGAGAGACTGTCCCTTGGCTCTCATATAAGAAACAGGTCTTGTTGACAGACTTGAAAGCCTAAATGCTTGCAGATGCGAACAAGCTGCACTGGAAGTGAAGCAGGCAGAAGGGATGCCCCCACCTCCCAGAGGGCTGGCCGCAGTCAGTTCCAGTAACTTCTTCATGCAGTTACAATGTTGTGAGGTCTGGAGATTTTTACGAAGAAGCCGCAAATCCAGATTTTTATGTGTAAATGTTTGGGTTTTGTCCTTTCAATATTTTAATTATTTTTTTAATGCACAGGTGAGCCACAGAGAACCCCCAGGACCTCTCACTTATGGACACCTAATGCTGGTCCTACAGCCAGTCCATGGTCACATCCTTGCCAAGTCCATCTCAAAGTGCCTTTTATATCCACCCCTCCATTGGCACCATGAAGCTTGGTGCCCCCCTCCCGTAACTCAGCCACTGTGCTGTAAATGGCTTCTCTGTCTACTGCTCTTCCTCCCTCAACACCCAGCACAGGCCTGAACAGCTCTGAGTAAAACCCGCTTCTGACTCTGCCCCGCCACCTCCCTCTGTTGACCCCTGAGCTAAGCTGATGCCAGTCAAGACCTTCCATCTGGGGGCACTGATCCACTTGATTTGCTTTTCTGACCTTTCTAAGGTAGATGTCTGTACTCCATCAGAATGTGGTGTTTCTCTCTGGCATGTGCATTGCTTTCCATTTTCCATGTCTTTGCCTCTGCTGCAGCTTCCTCTAGAATTACAGAGTAAACACTAAGCTCCCCTCCTTCCCCTCCCCATGCTATGACTATCACATAACAAGTAGTGTGCAGAGTAGTGTGCTGTCCACTAATGGTTAGAACAGAATGGCCTCTGACCTTCTATAAACTACAGAACAAGAACTCTGTTAAAATGCTTTAAAGATACCTCGGATGAATGCCTCTCTAGTCTCGTGGACAAGACATTCTTCTAGTGAACAGCAGTGCCCTTTGTGTATATCTAACTGTAGGTTGAAGCAGTGAGCATATTATTTGGACTTCTGCCTTTCTTCACACACATGTTATATTATGACCTCCTCAAAGGCTAGCACTCTAGCTTGTTCTTCTACTTAGCCTTCCAGATTAATTGCTGATAATTGTCTGTTGAATGAATGGGTGAATTTCCTGATGCAGAAAATATCATAATCAAAAGAAAAAGCCTTCTTAGTCCTATCCTGGTGTCACAGTAGAAGAACTTGCTTAGAGTGAAGGTGGAAAGTAGTTAGTTTGGAGAACTCGGGAGTTGATAAAGGAGTTGTTGATGACCGGGCATAATGATCGAATGAATTAGATTATAAAAATGAAAGCTTTTTGTTTATTTGGGAGATAAAGACAGTGCGCTCATCCACTTGTTCACTCCCCAAATACTCCCAATGCCTGAGGCTGGACCAAGCCAACGTCAGGAGTCAGGAAGTCAATCTGGGTCTCCCATATGGGTGGCAGGAGCCAATTACTTGACCCATCACTGATGCCTCCCAGGGTGCACATTGGCAGGAAGCCAGAGTCCCAGGCCAGGGGCATCAAACCCAGGTACTCTGATACAGGATCCTGGCATCTTAATCTCTAGGCCAAACACCTGTCCTGCTAAAGGAAAGTTTTGAACAATGGACTGAAATTGAATAAACTCTGCACATTAAGTTCAAGGAAATGGTAGCATTTCCAAATATGGAAGGCTGTTTCTTCTGCATTTAATAAGGGTCAATATCTTCCTTCACTTTTTAGTAACCAAGCAAAGGCACAATGACAGAGGTCAAGTAGTAAGACTGCAGTTGCACGGATTAGCAGAGTGACCACTCTAGACTGCTCAGTTGGCCACCTTCCCCGTGTCTAGGCAGTCCCTCTCTTCTGTTGAATCTGTTTCCTTTACCTCACTTCCTCTTCTGCTCTT